ACCCGATGCTGATCGAGAGTGGTCGTGGCGTCGTCCGCCTCCTCCTCGGACAAGAGCGAACCACGCCCCTCAAAGAGGCACTGGCCCCAGGAGACACCGTTGTTAGGGCGTCGTCCGCCTCCTCCTCCTCCTCCTCTTCCTCTTCCTCCTCCTCCTCATCATCATCCTCTTCCTCTTCGGTAGATTCTGGCTCCTCGGGCCAGGCCGACCTGGCTAGAGTCCGTTTGAGCCATGTCGAGGAGGATGACGACGAGGCGGACGGCATGAAGAAGTTCCTTCGAGAAGGACCTGCCGAGCAACTCGGGTCAGCCGGCGGGGCTCCGGCCGACGCGACAGATCTCGACTGGCTTCGCCGTTTTCCCAGACTCAAGTTGACCGCAACTTCACTCAAAAAGGGTGCGTACCAATTCAGTCGGGCTCACCGGCCTGTTGGTGGGCAAGTGGGATTTCCGGCGAACAAACGTCGCGAACTGTACCACACTCTTCCTATAGGACACTCTACCCCTCATGAATGGGCTCTTCGGCTAAAGGCCGGAGATTTGGGCTCAAAGAATGATATTCTGCTTTTAATGGAGTGTCCGTCGCTCGGGGCACGAAAGCTTAGCACGTTTTCGCCGGAATCGAAAGAGATGGCCCCGAAAACAGCCGCAACTAGAAGTTCCAACGACGACAAGCGATAGTTAGTCACGAGGAATCCGCCGTCGTCTTCTGGTGGAACCGACCTTCGAAGCTCTTTACCCAACACTTTCATTCGAAATGGAAATGAGCTCAATTAAATGATTCGTTGAGACACAATTATGCTTAGCATATACATTTTTATAACAAGCAATAGTGATTGCTCTTGAAAGTTGCATAAAGTGAATAAAAGTAGTGTAATGAGATGAAATTATTCTTTAATAAGAATAAGAATATTAAATTTATTATAAAAATATTCACCTCTGCCTATCCACGATATGGACACGAATGCCGCTGTCTCACAGACCAGATGCTGCATTCAAGACAAACTAGGCCTCGCATAACTCTACATTTTTTGGTAAAAGATTGTCTATTAAGCAAACATGTGTCTGCCATTGTACTCGACGACACTGATTTAATTCGCGAT